GGTCGTAAACGACCGTTTGCGGAGAAAAACGGAGACATACGGAGACCGTAAACGGAACCCGTATACGATAAAAGTATACGGTGTAAAACGATCAGAAACGGATTCCATATACGGAGGTCGTGTAAAATTACGGAGAGATTCAAAGATAAACCCCACTGCTCCGCATATGGAGATATACGACTACCGTATACGACCGTATATCACCGTGTGTGGTCGTGTGCGGTCGTATACGGTCGTATGTTTCATTCTATGACATATTCGTGCAAATCGATGAGCAAATGTTCAACGAACAGTAAGTATTTTTTTAATATATTTTTTATTTATTTTAGATTATTTTTTTTTATATAATATTGAACAGTAAGTATATTATTTTTTAATATATGCACTTTTTATTTGTTTTAGATTATTATTATTTATATATTATCAAAAAGTAACTATTTTATTTTTTAATGTATTCTTTTATAGTTATTTTAGATTATTATTTATATATTACTAAACAGTAAGTATTTATCGTTTAATATATGTATTTTTTATTTTAAATTATTTTTTTATATAATATTGAACAGTAACTGTTATATATATATTTTTTTTTACTTATTTTAGATTATTTTAATTTTTATATTACTGAGCAGTAAGTATAGTATTAATATATATATATATATTATTTATTTTAGATTGTTTTAGTTTCTATATTATTGAACAGTAAGTATTATATATATATATTTTTTTTTATTTTAGATTATTTTTTATATAGTATTGAACAGTAAATATTATATATTTCTTTTTATTTCTTTTAGATTATTTTAATTTCTATCTTACTGAGCAGTAAGTATTATATTAATATATATATATATATTTATTTATTTTAGATTGTTTTGGCCTCTATATTATTGAACAGTAAGTATTATATTTTAATATATATATATTATTTATTTTAGATTGTTATTATTTATATATTATTGAACAATAAGTATAGTATTTATATATATATATTGTTTATTTTAGTTTATCATTATTTATATGCTATTGAACAGTAGATATTTTGTATCTATAATTTATTTTATTTTGTTTTTTTTTAATTATTTCATTTTTAACAAATAGACTTGATTACATAGCGAGACAGGAGAAGACGGCGAGGTGGATAGTTTCGTACCATATTTGGCCAAAAAAGATCGTATGCGGGAAAAATACGGTCGTTGACGACCGTAAACGCTCCGTTTACGACCTCCGTCTTTCTCCGTATATCTCTGTATACGGTCACGGAGAAATACGGTCGTATACGGAGTGTATACGGTGTCGTATACGACCGTAAACGATCGTTTACGGAGTCCGTAACGGTGGACCTTGGTACATGAAATAGTAATCATCTCAAAACAGATAATCTAATTATATACCTGTAGGCTTCAGTTTAGTATAATTAATAATGTGCTTTTTGATATCATTTCACTGGAATTCTTTCATTATTTACGATAGCTTGTTCTCCGTTACATTTTCTTGACGATTTAACTACTCGTAAGTGGAATGAATTAACTTGATCTAACGAAAAAATAATTAGCTTTTATCAATGAGTTGGTTTATTACTTGTACATACAACTGAATCATATCTAAAAACCCACGATACTTGGTATTTAGGCACTTGTGAAAAATCAGTCGGTAAATGAACGATGCATTACCAGGCGCACAAGTCTTCTTCTCGTTCTTTACTTGAAAACGCTTTTTTCAGACTCGACTTAACAAATATTGGATTTAATGGTGTATTGATCTCAAGGATTAGATTTCCATAAATTTATTTAACGAAATATTAATATATTAGTTGATGCAGCTATCGTCAACTAAGAAAATTTTATGCGTGATTTTTGTCTGGAATATGTTATTCATCATTCTGTAGTTATTGGTATGCTTAATCATGTAGTTGAAATCGACGCAGGCACATTCCTAGTCGAACATCATGTAAGCAAGATCTTGGTCAAGATCTTAGGTACAGAAAAGATAAAAGATCTTGGAAATTTAGGTACAAGATAATATGATTATCTTGCACCAAGATATTGAATTAGATCTTGGGTACAGACATTCAAGATCTTGACCACAAATTCATAAGATCTTAGATAGGGATCCATACGATCTTGGGCACACACGGAGGTAATACGTGTTGCGTGTGTCGTGATTTGCGACACAATGCATGATAGATTCTGAAAGCATGGTTCGAATCTATCATATAGAGTACTTTTTTTCTGTAAAATCATGTTATGACATTTTTTTCAATTTATTTCATTTTAATTATTCGTATTCAGAATAACTAAAGCAAGCAAGATGTGGGAACCTGCACGATCTAGAGATGGCTCGATATCCATCACACTGCTTCAGGATAGTCTTCTCTCAATCATTGATCGAGATCAGCATTTTCTCGAATGATTAATAGTGGAGAAAGAGTTTAGAAAAAAAAAATATTTTGAAAATGTATGTTTCGTATGTTCAATCAAGTTGTTTATATACGGCTCTATATGCATAAAAAAACGGTGAATGACTAGTCAGTATGTACCCAATAAACTAATGATGTCGCTTTTTATTTTACTCAAGATCTTGTGAGAAGATAATAGTGAACGATATCTTTTCCACGATCTTGCTTACAAGATGTTCGACTAGGGATGGACGAAACGAAAACAAAATCGAGGTCGTCAAGAGGTACTCAGTTGGTATTTGCAGATATCGATCGAGATACTAGGGAGTGTTTTGCTGTATTCGTAGATCGACTTGATGTAGCCGTATGAAACCGAATTATTCATGAATTCATTTTGCCTGGTATACGATTTATAATTATCAATGATGTGCTTATAATGCAATTAGCAACGACATTAACGGTTTCGATCGTTATATCCGTTGAACAGTTAATCATTCAGTTAATTTCGTCGACCCAACAACATTGATACATACACAAAGCATGAAAAATACGTTGATGGTGGCAAAAAGTTTCTTAAAATGATATGAAACAGTATCATTTATTATTAAAAAAATACATCGCTGAATTCATGTGACGCCATCGATTCGATCAGCGTTCTCTCGAGAATCTGATTCTTATTATCCAAGAAAAATATCCACTGGTACAAGTAACTATCAGATAAGTATGTTGTAAGTTTTCTTAATTTTTTAACTTCTTTATTTCTTTTTGATTTATGATCTTCTTCTCTCACTTTGCTTTTCATTCTAGATTTATTTTCATCTCCGTTTATCCCAAGATTTTTTTTTTGTCTATGTAATTTTCATTGTTTTTAAATGAATAACTTCAAGTATCCAACGTCAATGGAACTGAATAAGCCGCAATCGCGATATTGACTATAAAATAGAATGATTTGTTTTCGAATCTGAAGGACTAGAAGCAAAAGGAATCAAGATTAAATTAACATTTATTCGTCGAATTTTATCGCGTAATCTGTTTTTACCTGACTGGCTGTATCAATGCAGCAAATTATTGTGTCTTGTGAAAGTATAGATATAATAATTTTATTTCATCAAGTTAAACACGACGTCTTTTTTTTTTATAGATTTTTACTCGCATTTTTTTCCTGTTTCAGTAAGTTTTTTAATTCGATAACTAGTCACTGTTTGTAAAAGAAATGTTTCTATAAATATTCACTCATACGTTGACTGCGTGAAATAAAATCATTTAAAATTGTAAAATTTATTGGAGAAGTGAAGTTATTCTCTTTCTAAGTAATAACTATCATTTTTATATAACGTACAGTTGAACTCCATACTTTGGCCTATTAGAAGTTTTGCTCAAAAGGTTTTTCTGTAATGCAAAGAATATTGTACATGTATAATATTGTTTGTTTTTTATTTGAAGCTATTCACTGGTTTCGGTACCATAGACGCGGTCACAATTGGACGTGCACGAGAAATATCGGTTGATAATGCATACTTTCTTTATCAATTAGTCATAGCGCGGTGAATTCTATCGCTAGTAATCACCATTAAGCACTTTTCAATGAAGAAGTTCTTCTAAGTGTGCCGAAATGTATGATTAGAGTACAGAAATTGAGCAGAGACATGAACTAGAATTTATTGTAATTCTTCATCGAGTAGAATAGAAATGAAAATGTAGCAGAATGTCTGCTCAAATGAATATTTTCAAAAGTATTCATGTGTCGAACAACATTCTCATTCTCGTGCATTGAGACAAAAATGCCGTGCATAGTTCTGAATACCCTAATGAATGTGCACACAGCACAATTGTTTACGGTTGTCCTTGATTTTTGTATTGCATCGTTTGTGAGAACGATTATATTTCTTCAAGCAAACACGTAAACGACAAGGGACCGTACTCTATATGTTTACTCGAATTTCTCATCAATTTTTCTAGAAGTGAAACGCCATAAAAAGCCAGCCAATATTTAGAACACGTCCGATTGTTGTTTACGTGTTAGCTGCAATCAGATCATTCCATTTCTGAATCAAGTCAGACAACTTTCTACATTGTATTTTAGAATAGAATTTTGAAAACCTCCTTCATTAATACTTGAAATTCCACGAACGTTTTTTAATTATAACGTCATTATTGATGCTCATCAAGGAAAGTATAATAGCTGTTCAGCTCATGTTTATTGATTTCATCGTCCGATTTCTGAATCAGTGATGTTCTTCGATGGCTTCAGGCGAACATACATTGACTGCAAAAAATGATCCTGTTTCCAACACTCAACTAAGTATTGAACACATCGAAAGTCATACTCAAGTATTGCGACGGCCTGTGGCAATAATTAGAGCGCACTGTCCACGAGTATCTATTCACTCTCGGCGATCATCAAAACAAAGTAACGAGACAATAAGTGAGAATAAGCTTCGTCAGAAATCAACTGAGAAACGAAGATTCGGCAAAGCGTTGTCAATGACAATGGTGAGTTACCGACTATGCAGACGAAAAAATTTGCATGAACGATGGTGAGAAAGTTCTTTGTATTGATGGAATTTTATTTTTTTGCTGCTATAGTTGTCAAGTGAATGATATGATGGTTGTTCTCGGTCTCTTGGGTATCATTCTTATGATTGTTGACAATGAATTAACTTTTACTCATATCGATCATCACGATACAATCTTTAATTGGCTCGTCAAATTAACAATCACAATTTCAACTGTTCTTCTTATTGTTCTTGTTCTCTATTATCATTATTACGATATTAGTCTTTATTGTGTTAATAACTCCATTGAGCACTGGTGTATTGGATTAACAGGCAGAAAAATAGTTCTAATTGTGTTAGAAATAGTGATCTGTGCTGTCCATCCTATTCCTCGAAAGTTTCCTATTGATCAATATTCACGAGATGCGAGTAGCAGTGCTAATTCGACAAAATTCTATCAGTCTATACCAATCTCCTTGACATATGTACCTGTTGATGTTGCGCTTGGCTTACCGAGTAAGTTTGTAATTTCTTTTCTGAAGAAGTAAAAAAGTCAGTGATGTATTTCAATAGTGTTTGCTCGCCTTTATCTATGTTGTCGTTTCATCACTTTTCATTCTCGTTTGGTTCAAGATACATCATCACAATCACTTGGCTATCTCAATAAAATATCTATCAATTTCGTATTTGTCATTAAAACTTATTTTGAGCAATCGCCGATACGTTGTTTGGTCATATTTTGTACTGTTGTCTTTTTGATTGGCAGCTGGTCATTGCGTGCATGTGATTTTAAATCAAATAATGAACACATATCCATACTTGATGCTATGTGGTTCTTTATTGTAACATTTACTACCGTAGGTATGTATCCGATTAAAATTTTACAGAGAACATAAAAAAGAACAAGATAGTTCTTGTTTTCAGGCTATGGTGATGTAACACCTGCAACATATTGCGGTCGAAGTAAGCCAAATTTTATCTATGAAACAGTTTTTCATTGATGAGTTCTTAACTTAAAAAGAAATTCATTGTCTTAATATAAAAAAAACAAGAATAGATTTATAACAAAAATATTTCACTTCACAAAAATATTCATTTTTTGTAGAAAACAATGCTAATTTATGTCAGATTAAGTTTCACAATTTAAACTATTTGTCTCTATTTGAATTATTATAATAATTAGGTGTGGCCACCATAGCATGTATAATTGGTATTTTGGTCTCTGCCCTTCTTATTGCCGTTATCTCACAAAAACTTATGCTGTCTCGATGGGAAAGATATGTTCATAATTTTGTCTTGAACAGTGAATTAGTCAAAGCACATAGGCATCAAGCGGCAAATGTTATCATATATGCATGGAAAATGGGACGCTTCACAAAAGTGAACAAATATAGATCTATTCAGTATATTAAAGCACAACAAGCATTCTTCAGATCAATAGATGCTATTAAGCATATTAAACAAAAACAACGGACATTAACTGATAATAATGTGGGTCTAGCCGAATTGTTGAGGGCTCAACGTGATACAAGTACTACAATGGATCGTTCAATACAACAGAACGTTACAATGAGACGGAAAATAGATACTGTTGAGCAAAAGCTTGATAATGTAAATCAAACAATACAAATCATACAGAATACGCTTAGTCGTTTGTTAGATAAAAGTATACCCTTGGAAAGCGTTTAGAACTTACCTATTTTTAAATAAAACATGACTAATCGTGCTAGTTGTTTGCAGATAGTTATTCTTATTAAAATTTATATTTTTGATATACATGAATTCTTCTGTAGCATTTTTTGTCGAAAATATACTTCACAGAAGAACATGTCGTCGGAGAAATAATGTGGAAATGTAACGATTATAATCAGTTTCTAATTAATCACCTCAATTGTAATCGACTATTTATTGATGGAACTAATTATTGAATTTCAATATTAATATTTGATTATATGTCCATTGAACAAATATTACATTGAACGTGGCCAATCACAAATGAAATTCGAACATCTTCACTTCAGAATAGAGACTAAAACGGAAGATCCTACTACTCTGCTCTTTTCAAAATTATGCATAAAGGGATAAGGACCAATGAAATTGTTTTCGAAGAAGTGTGCCTCTTATAAAATTTATTAGTCAAATCAGTATTGGTCACGATAAGAAGTAACGTCATGGCACTATCAAAAATCGCATTTATGAGTGCTGGATAAAAGCTTAATCAAAGTCTATTGGGAACTTACATTAATAGAAAAGGAGGAGAACATTAGGAGAAAATAATCCCAAAGAAACCATCATAAGAGTGAAGTACCTAGAAGAAAGAATCAAGTATGGCATTCTAAGCAGTGTTGAATAGAGCTCAGCAGGTTTATGTGTTACACGAATAAACTAGATTTCGATGTGCCATCCACGCTCGTTTTCTATAAATCGAAAATTATTAGTTTGACTATACAGGACCGTTTACATGCATTTTTTTCTTAAAAGGCGTATTCTAATCAATGTAACAAAAACATGTGGCATTTTAGCAAAAAATTGTATTTTATAAAAATCTCAGTCACAATTTCAACCATTTTGTTAAGAAAAGTTTAGCAATTATAGACCAACATAATATATAATACCTTACTAAAATAAATAAATACAAAGAATACATAGGAAGTGCACCACTTGTGCGGGAAGTATTTTCTTTGGACAATCGGCTATGTAGTAGACGAAAATCATATCTAGCTGATAGACAAGTGACATATATCCTTATATACCGAAATCTGTTGAGATTCTGTAAGATTTTTTAGAATCATCCTTAAGTGATCGACCTTCTCAGGATTACTTCAATCCAAACGACAGATGGCGGAATTCTGCAATGCTGAAACCCATGGTTCTCTATGATTGTTAAAGCTTCATTTAATTCTTTTGAACTCCTCAGAATCCCCAGCAAATTTCAAAGAAAATGTCAACGAATGCTATCTACGACAAAACATTTATCTTGTCGGTATCTCTATTCCTATTTTTGCACTCGTTAGCGGCCATCAATATTTCTATGCATTGATGGTTCGTTACTTTTCTTTTGTTGCGTTGTGATTCATAAGATTGCGTTATCTCTATTGCTTGAGTTATGCTTGAACTAATTTCCTTATTTATCTATCAACTTTTTATGTGTGACTGTAACATACAACAAAATGGCATCAAACTTACAGGATAATATTTGTCCTATATAAGTTGTACGAGAAAAGACCAATTTTCACATATTTTTTTCCGTTCCCTTTTCTATTATTTGGTAACAAAAGTTTATCGAATGCCATTAAAAACTTTTCATCGAAATAAGTTTTCATTGAAATCATTATCTTCATGGTCAAGATTGTCTTCAAAAATAAATGATTGATTTTTAGCTTCTTTGCTTTGTAAATCCGACAGTAGATAAGTTATTAGAACCGATGTATTTCGCATCAAGAAGATAACATATTGCGTGAGGCTGCTTTAAAATCCTGAAAGTGTGCTGCCAAACTAGCAGATACGGAAGATGCTAGTTTCCGCCTAGAAGATATTATTTTTCCTCATTAAGCCACAATAATCTAATCTGCATCACAAGATTTCTCTTGCTTTTAGGACAAGTAGTAAACAATACTGAGATATATGTTTCTGAAGCGGATCGGCTACAAATATCAACAATGATTGAAAACAAGGCCACAATGCTAACAGATTTGAATCCTTTGTAAATTAACTGTTTCAGTTTTTTGCTGTTTGTCCACATTCTATAATATCGGTTTTAGTTAAATTTGCTGTTTTCTTACTGGAAGTTAGAAATAGTCCATGAAAATATTGATAGTTATGGGAATAAGTGATCAATGTTGATTACGAATGTGTCGTCTTTATCCAGTGAGAATTCATCATTGAAAACCTGTCCGGGCGATATGGTTCTATTAGTTATATCTGTTGTGACTTATTGTTTTCCTTCATTCGTTGTTAAAGTATTTCATATTTTTATGCTCACTCTCAAGATAAGTGTGAAGTGAAAGTGTGAGGGTGATGATGAGGGTGGCACACAGTGAGTGTGAATGACTGTAGCGTTGTGAAAAGGTGGTAAGCACTGTGGCTTTACGGCTGAGAGTGAGTATGTTCTCTCTTTAATATTTCTACATTTTTACAAGCACTTTTTGCCTGAGAACATTGCTTATTCACCGTCATTGTTACACTCTTATTTATACTCTCCTACCAATCTCTATCCTCGTCCTCATGCTTTAGCAATACAATCACCTATCATACTCTGACGGGCATCCAATCACAACTTTGCCAGTATTGAATTTGAATGAGTATGGACGAAAATCAAGATATTGGATCGGAAAGCTAATTGCTGATAAGAGAAAATCGAAATGCTTAGTATTTTTTGATCGACAATGCATTCCACATTCGGGACATTCGGTACCTAAATGCCCTTATCATGGAAAGTATAAAAGAAAAAGAACAAATATCTTCATCATTGTAATAGCATTCAACCTCATATTGAATAACGATTGAGGCTTTCTCAAAGTGAAATGTGTGTATATGAATGTTATGACAAAATATTCTCTTGACACATCATTGATTCATGAAAGAAACACAGAAAATCATTGATTCATAACTGGCCATGATGCAGATTTTTTGTTTAAGCGCATCTTTTTACTAGACTCTCTGAACTAAAATATGATTTTTCAATATGATAAGATTGTCTATTGTGAATAAGTAGGTCAGAAAACTGGATCACGGTTGGTCTTGTAGTTTAACAGAGTTCGATCACTGATTTAGATAAAATGTTTCGCCTGATTCACGACAAAAAGGCCACTTAACATGGATGGTATTATTCCACGAAATACGCCTGTCGCATCCCCTGCATACCAAATGTTTTCTCCAGGTACTTTCAAATGTTGATCCAGTAGTGGATAGCTTCCTATGGCTTCTACTGTTGGTCCTTTGAGTATAAACATTTGTCGATCTAAATTTGTATCCTTATTTAAGCTTGAGAGGAACGATTCAATGCCTGTAGCAAGATGTGTACCGACGTCACCATATATGTCGCTCAGTTTGTCCATTTCAGCAAGTCTTAATTCAAATGGGCGTGTATGCTTAACTTGTTTTAATAAGGTTTGAGCATCGCTATTCTTAAAACAAACATTGAAACCGAAATTGCTTTCTGATGTTGGCATACATTCAGAAGAACCATAATAAGCTGCTATGCCATCTTGTTCGATCACTGCACATTCTCCGTTACGACACCAAAAAAATGTTCGATACTCCAGGTTTGCATCGGCTGTTGGCATAACCTTAGAAGTGACCTGCGTTGAAGAAGAAAATAAACTGTCGTTGGCAGGACCACAAATGCGTACACCAACTTCCACTTGCTTGAAAAGATGTTTCACCATGGCAAACGATTGAGAAACCATTGGAAAGAATCGACCACCGCTAAGAATGAGATTTTTACAGCGAAATTCAATGTCATGTCCATTTTTTTTACAATGTAAAATGTAAGTATTGTCTGTTGCTGATTCAACTCGACACAGTTCGGTGTTTAAGGAGAGCTGATTCGGTTTAATACCTTGGTGAATTGAAGCAATGAGAGCCATGCGCTGTTCGAGTGTTAAATGGAAAGCGGATTGCTTCTTTTGCTTTCGTTTTTCGGCATTAATGCTATTTTGTTCATCGCTGTTTTGGATAGTATTGAACCAAGTTGTCAGTGATGTTGCAACACTCAATGCCATGTCAGCGTGACAGCCCAAAATACCGTTGACTGTTGTAACCTTGCCGGCAGCTTTGATACTGAGATCGGATGGAAAGACTGGAATGGTGAGAATACCTTGAAACATGGTCGCTAATTGGTTGTGGCTCATTCTCAAGCATTCATGGTCAAGCAACCAAAGTCTATTACCAGCAGGGTAAAACACGAAATGACCATCAGAGAAAAGCCCAGCTCCACCGATACCTCCAATATGGGTTCTGTCATTAGACAGTGCACGTTCCGATAGGCCATCACCACTATCGATCAATAAGTAGTTACTTTCATGGTGTACACGTAATCCATAACTGGCTGATAAACCGGCTGGACCAGCTCCAATAATGATATAGTTAAACATTGTCATTGTGAAAAGTGTTTTCACCTATAAAGATACTAAATGAAGAATTCATTAAATCAACATATGTTCAATGACTTGCTAAGAAGAATCTTTTAATATCCAAAAACCTATTTTCAGAGAAAAAATGCGTTTCTACAACACTGAAAAAATAATTGTGTCACTCAATCATTACTATGCGATACTCAAAAGTAAAGTAATTCGATTTTTCCTTATGTCGATTGCATATCCTACGACCTTCACAATGAATATACGAGCGATAAAGTTCGTGCGAGCATTCTAGACATCTATGGCACTAGAAGAATCCACAGGAGGGTTCTTAGCTTTAGGTTATGAAAGGGTATTTCTATTACCGACCAATCAACAGTACACAAAAACAAAATAGAAAAAACTGATCAGATTGGTTTTTGGCAATTGTAAGTCGAGGGCAGGATCAACAATGAAGAATAGTAGGTTCTTGCAAAAAAAAAGTAAGCCGAGCTTGTTTTCATTTAATCTAACACTCGGTATTGAATGTGTGATGCCTGAATATACTTTCGTGTGCTTATTCATCTGACTTATTGGATTCACTCTTCAGCAAAAGTTTGGGAGGAGAACGAATCAATGGCATAACATGCTTGAAAAGATGAATGATTTTACAGCCACGCACTCTGTCATTCACAAGGTCATATTCTTCATTCTGTCAAAACAAGCAATGTTGTCCTTCGAAAGAAAAGAATGTCGTACTATTTCGAATATAAGAAACAAAAAGTGAAGAATAAATAAGTAAAAAATTGGAAACCAGAAAATCATAAAACATGATCGTTTTAATAATATATGACATGAGTCTCTATACCTCATCAGACAAAAACATTAGAGAATTCTTAGTCTATCTCAGAATATTTGCCCGTGTTGTGGTAGTACAATGCATTAGTTATAAACAATAATAGCTTTTTTCGTCTGTGAATGACGCTGCGAAGAATCTGTGCTTCAATTTTGCTGAATATCAAATGTTAATCGAACTAGCATGATGTAGGTTGTCTGCACTACAGTCTAAAAATATCTGTCGTGCGTTAAAAAAAAGACTGCCCAAACACTTTTATGTTGGAAAGGTGTCCGAAATAATCTTGGATATCCTTTAAAAGTTTTTCCAAGTTCAATACAAGTGTTTAAAGTTTCGATAGCCTTGAAATCGTTTTAGATAGAAACATTTCCGGGGAATCTTGAACGGTTCCGGAGAAACGACTCTTAAAAAAGCTGCGAAACTTTCAAAATTTCCTTAAAGAGTTTCCAAAATCGTTCTGAACATCCTTTTTTTTGCGTTTGCTACAATATGAATATTTTTAATAGTGTGGTCGAGTCCTAAGAAACAAACACTCTTAGTTACCATATTGCATAGCTGATGAATTACTGTGCATTTTATGAACTAACATCTCAAGATCCATCATGATGAACTCCTCCAATAGCAACACTTATCGGTTTTCCTTGTATTAACATATTTTCATTTCTGGTTCGCTCTTCTTTTCTTCTCGCATTGATTTGATAGCCACACGAGAGATTCATTGAACATTAGAAATAAACAAATATTAGGTGATCAGATTGTTGATCTAGCAGTGCATGAGACAATAGAAGGTCGCACTTGCGACTTCATTATGTCTACTTTTGGAGCATTAGTGTAGGAGTCCTGTAACTGACTTGTATGGAATTTGGTGTAAGACGATAATCAAGAAGAACTTTATTTCGACGAAAGATTGTTTCATAATTAGAAACTAACATTGGAACCATCATTAGAAAAATTCTATTGTTACTAACTTTATCATGAAATCTCTGAGAAGAAAGGTTTTAATCCCATATTTACTCTGCTAAGTACGAGAAAAAGATTGAACATATCGATTGAGATTTTGGATATTGATATTGAATCTGCTCTGAAAACATCGTAATTATCTTATAGTTATTTGTTCATTGAGAAAATTCATGTGGTCTATAAAAAAGACTGCTGCAAAACTGTCCTTTTTAGTTAGGCAATACATAATATTCGATGATCTCACGAGATTATTCACTGTGATGTGCTATACAAAATCGAGAATATCCAATATTTTTCCTCGTAATCTTTTTTCGGAGATTGTCTACGAATGGATTTATTATGAGTGATTCAAAAATTTATTCAGTACACTGAAATGACTATGGATAGTACTTTAACGAAACGTGGAGATGAATTGCCGAATGACACTCGGAGCGGTCAGAAAATTTGCCAATCAAATAAATGTGACATTAGCTTCTAATATGCAATGACTCCAGATCTGAGAGGCGAAATCACTTAAGCCCCCTCCCCCCTCAGAAAATCCACTTTTTGGTAAAGTAATCGAAGTCGAGTTTTATCATAGGAAGATGCAGCAAAGTTTCCTCTTTCAGAATATATATGAATTTTTTTAAAAAGGCCAAATTTTTACCGACTTTCGTAGGAGATTTCCACTTCACTACCCGGTTTTCGGAGAGATTTTCGCGGTTTTTGTTATTTTGAGGAAGACTACTTTTTTACTTCTATCAACATGGAATCAACATGCTTATATCATATAGTATGACCTGTAGTACTAGCTTGCGGCACCTATTGCGTGCTTTCAAAAATTCCACATATTTATTATCACTATACCATTATTTCCTGCATTTGAATGAAAAAATCGATTTCTAAAAGTTCTTTAGCGTTTTTCTCAAAACATAGTTTTCAGTCAGAAAAATTGAGATAACTCACATAGGTTCAAGATATAACACATCTTTTTTTTGTTTTAAAGATCTCAATGAGAGGAAACTTTTCATCAACCAGTTTTTCTAAAACTGATTCCTGGGCTGAGAAAAGTGGAATTTACTGTCGTCTGATCGCTATTTTTTATGCTTTTTTTAAGACATGCTTACTAAAATATTCATAAAAAATGAACAATACGGAATTTGAAAATCCTGGTTGATGAAAAGTTGCGTACTGACATTGGCTTTAATTTGAAACCACCCCGAGCTGTATATCTCGTGTTGCGACAAAGTTATCCAGATTCTCCTGAAGGTCAAAAATGGTCTATGAATCAGCTGAAACTACTGTCTAGCACGACCAAGCGGGCTGAAATTTTTACCAGATACGTATCTCTCCAGGATCACTGATCCCTGAAATTTTCAGCTCAAAAGGCCCGTTCTAAGTGAGAAATCATTTCTGGGGGGGGGGGGGGGGGGGGGGTTGGAGAATTTAGGGGGGTGGGTGATGGGGCGTGAAGGGATGGGGGGGGTGTTATTGTCTTTTGTCAGGNGCAAAACTGTGGATTTTTTACACATTCAAAAAGGTTTTTTTGAGGGGAAAAAGCGGCTTTGAAGATGATAACATCCATAAACTGGTTTTTTAAAGAGAAACTTGAGATTTTTAGTGCAAAACGTGCGCATGCTAAGTCATTAAAGAGTCCTTTGGCTGCTGAGAACGTTTTATTTTTAAATGACATTGTTAAAAAATTTCGGAGTTTTTCGGAGTCGGAATCGGCGTCAAAAAATAAAAATTTTCCGAATCGGAGTTGGAATCGGAGTCATAAAAAGAAAGATTTCGGAATCGAAGTCGGAGTCGGAGTCGGGTTTCGGAATGAAAAAGTTGACTCCGCAGGTCTCTAGTTTCAAGTAGTAATCAATAAGGATAATGATTTCTCTCAATATTCGAAAAGCTTTTCATTCTTGCTCAATGCTACACAAGTTTTTTTAAAAAGTTTCACCGTTTTCATTCATGATTGTCTATTCTCAAAAACTTTTGAACAGCTTTATTCTGAATAAATGAAATATATTGATTTTAACATGATAGTAGCGACATCTTTTTCTTTAAAGTTAGATTTACTTTTTATTTTATATATATAATCTTTCTCAGGACTTTATGTGAAAATATTTTTCTAAAACTTAAAATTTCGACATAAATTTCTATTGGACGTTAAACGAAAATGTTTCTATAGGTTGATAATGATCAAATCACAAGATTATTCTGTAAAACTTACAACATTCCTCAAAACTGCTGATCATCTATGAATTCATAATTCGAAAAATGGAAGCAAAATTAGCCGAATTCCGTAAGACACATGTTCAAAAACAGCCTTTAATCAATTGGCGTGAAATCAATTCTCGTTTTGCATCAATTTTCTGCTCATTTTTACCAAGAAAATCTTCTGAAATAAAACTAAAAGAAGAAATAGAAGAGAAAGAAGAAGAGTCTATAAGTAGTTGGCAAATAATTTTACTAAAATTGTTCGTATGGTTAACATTATTTCTAATATTTATTCGTCTTGAATTTGGTGCTGTTTATTTTATTATTTCTCTTATTTATTTAATGTGGTCAAATTTGGGTTCTCGTCGTCGACGTAATCAATTAAGTGCTTATTCTGTATTTAATCCTAATTTTGAAAAAATTCAAGGAACATTTTCAGCAGAAGATTATGATCGTCAACTAAGACGTGGTGGATCACCTTTTTTTTCATCATAATTGTAATTTTTTTTTCGTTTTTTTTTCAGATGATTTCTCCTGTAAAACGTTTATGTAGTTCGTCATCATCATCATTAGTAAAACGTCAGTGGCATCCGATCGTCGATGATGATTATCTTCGTTTACCAAATTTACAATCAATGATTGTTGCTCGTGTTAAAGATCGTCGATTAACATCAGATATTCTTCCGTCAATAAATAAAATATATCCATGGCCTAATTCTTTAAAACATGTTAGACGATTGCATCAACATGATAATCAGTTAGATATTCTTCTTTATCCATCATCATTTTTATCATCGATTGAAAAAAGTCAATTTGAAAAATATTTTGAAAATGAAACACGATTAATAAATATTCCAGAAAATCCTTGTTTATTAAAATGGCAATATGATATATGTATTAATCAATATTGGCCTAATTTAGCATTTAGAGAAAATAAAATTCTTGAACAATCACAATTAAATAAAGATCTTACAGAACAAGATGAAATTAGTCTTGATCTACTTCAGGTTTACAAATTTTTTATAAAAAAAAAAAAAAAAAGCGAAAAACAAAAGAAATTTTCTTTTTTTAGAAAATTCAAGAAAATGATAAAGAATCTCATTGTGCAATTATTGTTGATAATGAAAGAAAAATTCCTCTTGTTGCTTCTCGTGATTATCGTCATGAACATCCATTACAACATTCGACAATGGTTGCTATTGATTTACTTGCTGCAAATTCAGTTTATTTAAGAGAAAATTTAGTTGAAAAATTTATTGAAAAAAAAGAAAAAAAAGCTTATTTATTAAATGGTTGTTCGATTTATTTAACACATGAACCTTGTATTATGTGTGCTATGGCATTACTTCATTCGAGAATATCAACTGTTTATTATTTAAATAAAAATCCAAATGTTGGAGCACTTGGTTCAATGTATAAATTACATACTTTAAAAAAAACAAATCATCGTTTTTCTGTTTATCATTTAGAACAAATAAATAGTAATGATACACTCAATACATAGAAATAAATATGTGATTGTTTTGTTAATTAAATGATATAAATGAAAAAAAAAGAATAATTTTTTAGATAATAATGCATTTTATTTTATATTCTATTCGAAATAGTCCAAATCTATTAATTCGTCGTCGATTTTCACTTTCATCATCAAAACAAAATCTTTTTAAAAGTTTATTTGATCATTTTCAATATGCTCGTAAAGCAAAAAAAACTGTACAACAACGTGGAATTGATTTATCAAATTTAACAGCTGAACAACAAATAAAATTGCAACCAATATTACGAATGAAAACTGCATTTCGTGTTGTTAATATAACAATGGGTATAATGGCTGTTATAGCAACAACTGTTTGGTATAGACGTCGTCAAAAAGAATATAAACTTGGAAAAGAAATCAATGATGAATTAAAACCAATTTGGATGGATTTAAAATATTTTAAACATAAAGGTGCTATGATTGGTAATTATTTATTACCTGAACAAATTGTTGGAAAATTAAAACAACTTAAAAAATTTCAATTTGATCAATCTGATTGTATTTGTGCATCATTTCCGAAATCAGGAACAACTTTAATACAAGAAATTGTTTATTTAATTCAAACTAATTTTGATTATGAATCAGCAAAAAAAATCGATATTACTGAAAGATATTCTTTTCTTGAATGGCCAACTGTTCATCTTCAACAATTATCATTAAATCAAACAAATAAATCAAGATTTTTTAAAACACATTTGCCACCTGAATTTTTTAATGAAACTTTTAAGAAAGCGAAAGTAAAAAAAAAAGAAAAGCTAACAAATTTGAGATTATATTTAATGAAAATAAATAAATTTGCCGCTAATTAATTTAGGTTATTTATATTTATCGAAATCCAAAAGATGTAACTGTATCATTATTTCATTTTCTTCGTTCGATAAAAATTGAATTAACTTATTCTGGTCCATGGAATCAATTTGTTCAATCTTTTCTTATCGATGAAGGTTAGATCTAGTTGAAATATTTTATTCAAATTTAATTTACAATTTTAGTTTATTATGCACCATGGTGGCGTCATATTAATGATTATCATTCTCTTCGTGATTCAATTTTTTTTGTTGCTTATGAAGATCTTCTTACTGTAAATTTTTTTTTTAACTTAAATTTTTATAATGTTTTTTTTTTTGTTTATAGAATTTTCGGCCAACTGTTCGTCGTTTAGCAGCTTATTTAGGAAAAGAAAAAGAATTAACAGAAGAACAATTAGATAAACTTGAAAAATGGTGTTCATTTAATTCAATGAAACAAAATCCTAAAGTTAATTATAATTGGTTTCGTGATTGGGGTTTTGTGAATAAATCATTTTCATTTTTAAGAAAAGGTAAATAATTTTTATGTATTCGTCCGTTAATCACAGATTTCAAATGTTACTGTTTTATTTGAAAAAAAGAAAATGTTTTCATTTTCAAATAGTAATTATGAATGAAATAAAGCTAATTTAATAGACAATCTAAGTTGATCATTTTACTATAGAATGAGAAATTATAATATGTTAAAAGAAAATCTATTAAATAATTATATTTTGTTATTTTTTTTCAGGTGAAATAGGTGATTGGTTGAATCATTTTGATGTTGAACAATCTAAAAGTTATGATCAAATGGTATCAACTCGTCTTTCTTCATCAATTCCTCCATTGAATTATGGAATATCTTCAGAAGTTCAACAACATCTTTATGATTTTAATTCTAAAAAAGATTCTTCTCAATCTTCTTAGATAAATTATTTTCATATTTTGTTTTGTTTTGTTTCAATCAAAGTATTGATTGATTTAGTTTCAATTTTTTTGTTATTTTAGATGCAAAAAACAGAAATTCATTGGTCACCAAATGAACGAAATCAACTAGCTGAAATAGGAGCTGAAATAATAATTCATACATTTGATCGACCATTAAGTGGAGAAAGTGGAAAATGTCTTTCAGGAGGAACAAATAAAAAAACAACAAGCCTTAATTATCCATTACATGAAAAAAATAATATTAAAGTTATTTGATTTTTTTTCTTGATTTTTATTTTTTCTAAAAGTTAAAATAAATATTTAGTGTTGTGCATGGTGGCCATCACAAGAATATCCATATGTATTTGCTATTGGACAACCTAATGGACGGATTATATTTGAAAAGTTAGTTTATTATAATATCAATCTTTTAATCATTTTTATTTTTAGTGTTAAAGATCGATTAGATCCATTGAGTCAAGGAAGAATAGGTTTATTTATCATTATTATTTATATTAAAAAGATATTTATATTTATTTTATTTAAGTTATTGATTCTAAACAAGGTCGATCATGTGTTGCACTTTCTTGGAATCCAAAAATTCCTAATTTAGTAATTATGTTCTTTTCTCAAAGACTTTAGTTAAAATTTCTTTCTTTCTATTATTTTAAAAGCTTTTATCAGGATTCGATAGATATCGTTCTGATAATTGTTTAACAATTTGGGATATAAATCATAATGGTTTATTATCACCACCATTACATCAAATAGGAGGAATAACATCATCAGCAGCATCAAATATTGATGAATACAAAAGACTTGATATTTTAATGCATAATCAACAAGTTTGGAAACCAATATTTGATATTGGATTAAATGAACAATGCCATTCATTAGCATGGTTTAAACCAAATGATCGTTGTTTTGCTGCATGTACAACACAACATAACTCAAGAACTATTAAAATTTATGATCCACGTGGTTAGTTTTTCTATCAACGTTTTTTATTAATTTTCTCATGAAAATTGAAAATTTCAAAGATGATTCTATCTTACACATGAATCAACTTAGACTGAATTAGTTCTTTAAATCTCATTGTAGCAAAAATGCTATATATGTTTTAGAAATATTCGTTCATAAAATTACCTATAAAAATTCGTACGTCATCTTCTGGAATGAAGTAATAAACAAATGTTTCAGAGTTCTTCCGAACTATCTGTAAAGAAGAGATATATAGTCGATCGTTGAGAAAGCTCTCAAGTAATTCTTTAAAAAAAAGTATACAAGGCCGTGTTTTCGATCAGTTCACATCCAGAAAAATTAGCGCATATGTAGAGACCGTCGGGTTGATCCTAAACTCGATCGAATCTGTATCAGAGAATTTTAGACCTGATGAGTTCGAGTCATCTGAAAAATGTGTAGAATGTATTAGTCACCGATTACTAAAAATCGGGAAAAATTGTCTCATAACGATCATTCGATTTCAATTATAAAATTTCATTGAGATTACCGATGTATGGTTCGATTGGTTCTACACATATGACTGTTACTGGTCTAGAGGAAGATGTGGATATTCTAGTACGAGATTTTGTTCAGTGTATCATAGTATAAAACACAGTTGTTATGATATTTCTCTTTGTGTCAAACAAGATAAAATTGGCCAAGTTTTTCAATTAATAAATTCGAACAATAAAAATTTCGATTCAATTATTAAAAAAAAATTGACATTGAGTAAATTACATGTGAGAGATTTATGTCATGTGTTTCTGTGTTTATAAAATAATCTAATCTAAATCTATTTGAATTCAATCTAGCAGAAATGATTTGAAATTCAGCTCATCTCTTACTTTTCTACAATTAATAAAACAAGAAAATAAATCATCAAATTTTTAACGATTTGTGGTTTATCGTTAGTTGTACTTTAACGCACAAATCAAACAAAGAGAATAACAATGAAAATTGAAGAAACATATTATAGATCTCGAAATCTTCATCAAACTACAAAAAGTTTGATAAGACTTAATTAAACTTTAACAATTATTAAAATGTTCTATTGTTCTAGTTCATTCGAGTTTATTTCGAAGAGTAAAATTACTTATACACAAATGTCAATTTTTGTCACATGAGAAGTATTAAGTTTCACAGAAGAAAAAGAGCAGAGCTTTTTCATTTGTTAATATGTACAATGAAAATAGATCTTTTAGAATAATGTTAAATTTAGAAATAAAAAAAAAAACAAAAAAGTTCTAATTTTAGTGTTAATTTTGAGTGAATAAATGAATTGTTTTAATATCTTAGAAAAATTTCGTTTGTGTTCAACATATAATTATTTGTTTATAATTGTATGTAATTCTTTTTTCAGTAATATATCGATATAAATGTTCATCAATTTTCATCATTAAGAAATCTATTGAAAAATGAATTAATATTGATCATGTTCAATAAATAAAATAAGTTTTATTTTTCATTTAAAATATTTTATTTGTTATAGTTCAATCACCTGTTGTAACATCATTTCCAACAAAAGCTCCATTTAATTTATGCTGTGATACAAGTGAACGATATATAGCTGCTTCGATTGATGTATGTTACTTTTGATTTTATTTTTAAAATAAAAATTAAAAAAAAAAAAAAAAAATTATTTTAGAAAACAGTTTATGTATATGATACTCGTGCAACTGACAAAGCACTTATTGTTCGTGAAGAACATGAACCAATTGTTAAACTTGCATGGAGTCGAACAGGGTTCACATTTTTATAATTTCATTTTTTTATCTATTTTATAAATGAAAATAATTTTAGATCATCTCAACTTGGTTATTGTATTCGAGATTCTCCGAAATTTCTTGTTTTGTCAGTATCAACAAATAATAGTCATGAAAATGATACATTTGTTCATCGAATTCTTCAATGTATATATTCAAATGAAACATTTTCTTTTTGTTTTATTTTTATTAAATTACAAAATAATCAATTTTAGGTCCAATTCAACGTTATAGAATTGGTTTAGCATCATTTGATTGGAATTATTTTGATGAAAATCGTCTTGTTTTACTTAGTGGAAAAGAATATTTTGATTATGTTATTCCACCAAAATCAAATATTGTAATTATTTTTTTTTCTTCTTTTAATTAATATTAATATATTTATTTAGTGTTATTCACCACGTAATGGTCTTTTATGGACAAATGATCATGAAATTCATCCATCTGTAATTAGTCAAGATCAAGCACAAATATATTCAAAAGTTCTTTTTACATATGATTTATCAAATGTACAAAATGATCGAAGAACTATCGCTTCATCACAATCAACACAAAATACAGAAGTAATCAATTTACAATTTATTTATTTATTTTTTCTTCTCACTATATTTTAGCTAATTCAAATGGATTTAAAAACAATGTCAAAAGAAACGCAATCAACTATTGAACAAATACAAAGATGGATTAAAAGTTAATCAAGCGAGTGTTTTTCTAAACTATAAGAAATTTTTTTTTTTAATGTTTAGGTACAAATATTAATCGAGATCCATATCCATTTATTGGAGTTATTGAAGCATTAAGAGGTTTAAGAAGAATTTTTTTTTTTCAAAACATTGTTTGTTTATTAGTTATTATATTAATTAGAAGCTCAACCATCATCAACAAGTATATTAACACATCAATCATGGTCATCAATGGCTAATTCAACATCTACAAAAACTATTTATGAATCACCTGAAAGGTATTAATTAATTTATTCGAATTTTATTGATAAAATATTTATTGAATAAATCAATCTTTTTCGATCTTTTGTTTTCGTTACATTCAAATCAAAAAATACTTTTCTTAACTATATATATAATTATAACACTTTATTAAAGATTTTCTTTTTTCTGTAAATTTATTAAATCTTTATGTTCTTTTTAATGATTAAATCACTTAAATCTTATATAAAAATGATTCTTACAAATATCTATAATTCATCGAAGTTGACATATTTTCATTTCGACTAACGCTATTAGACCAAAATCGTCGATGAGAACATTCATGATGGATTAAGATTCTCACCAAGTCTATGAATAGTTTTATCTACCAGAGTTTTTTCAAAAATGACTTCATCAACTCGAATTAAAACCTGTTGACGTCGAATATTTTAGAGACAATCTTTGCTCTTCGAACAGAGTTTCTCAGATATATATACAGAATAGTTCCTATCGTTGAATTTATTATGTCTATTGAATATATCGTTAGATGAGAATCCGAACTGGAATCCATTGAAAATAAACATTTAAAAGTCATGCTCAATGATCAGGCCTCGTAGTCGTCCTATATTTCCTATATTTCCTATATCTTTAGAAATAGTCCTATAATGTCCTCTTTTTTAGGTATTGGTCCTATATTTCCTATATATTTCGAAAAAGTAAAGATTATTCTGAAGCGAATCATATTTCAGTCAGAAAAGATACACATTCTTACGTATGTATTACCATTAGCTTCCACAATAAAANAATAAAAATAACTTCGATAACAAGTGTCATCGAAGTTGTAACTTCGATAACCACTGCCATCGAAGTTGTAACTTCTATAAAAAAATTCTATCGAAGTTAAACTTCGATAAGAGGAAGCATCGAAGTTGTAACTTCGATAAAAATTTTATCGAAGTTATAACTTCGATAAACATGCTAACTTCGATACGACATATATATTTCTTGTTAGAACGTCTTTATTTGTTCATGTTTGGTTATAAATGGATGTTTCGTGTAGAAGATAAAAAGTGAAACCTAAGACAAAACACATTGAAAAACAAACACACACAAACAAATCATGCAGAAAAAAAGAACGAAAGGAAGAAAAAGGAATAGTCACTGGATATAATTTATTCACGAAGTTTTCCGATGTTTTATAAATGTGACAATAGCAAGAGTAGCAAAGACAGCACTGCCTAAAGCGATATATGGCCACCAACTGTTATTTGTATTATCAATCTTAAATTAAAAAATAAAATAAAATAAAATAAAATAGAATAAAATATGAAATAGTTCTAAACCTGATTAGTATTATTTGTTTGAGGTTTATTTGTTTTTGGTTTAAACATACGTTGATAAATTTCTTTTTCATTTTTTTTATAATTAGCCAATTTATTTTCACAAATTAGAATCATTTCATTAACTTTTTCTTTATCAGCATTAGAATTTGAAGATTCTCTTTGAATTTGTAAAAATAATTTCAATGGTTGAATAGCTTTATCATATAAACCTAATTGAAAAAAAGCTTTTCCTTGTCGAAATAAAGCTTTAACATTTTTCGAATCATGTTTAAGAACATTTTCAACAGCATTTAAACAAGCATCATATTTTTTTAAAAGTAAATTAACTTGAGCAACATTATTTTCTACTTGAATAAAAGCATCATTTAATAAAGATTTTTGATTTTCATTAAATGAAATTAATATTGGATTCATATCTGTATCTAAAAATCTAATAGCACCATTATAACATTGAAGAGATGTTAAATAATCTTGACGACGATAATGAAAATTTCCCATTTGTCGTTTTTTATCTCCCCAATAAAGTCTTTCATTAATTGATAATTTTTGAACATCCGATGGACTTTGCCAATCATGTAATTCTAATTCAATTATCATTCTATATGAATTATTTGAAGAATTAGGTGGAATTTCTTTATCTAAACAACCAATATCACCATAACAATGTCGAGTATCACTATCAATTAAAGCACATTCACCACGATCCATTGTTTGAACAGATATATCAATAGCTGATATTATATCACATTCACTAATAAAAAATCTTTCATTTGATACATTTTCAATTAAACGAATATTTGAAGTTAAATTATCAACTAATGATAATTTATATGAAACAGTTGCCAATGTACTACGTGTTGGACGACTATTTAATTCACCTTTAATTGTTGTCTAAACAAACAAAAAAAATTTTATAAGTTTTTATTTTCTTTAAATTTTATGATTTTTACTTTTTTAAGTAAAGTTTTATTTCCAAGAATATCTTCAAATTCTGATGAAATTAATTTACTATTTGATAATAATGATTCATCTTCTTCTTGTTGTTGTTGTTTATTTAAATTATTTGATTTTTCATCAAGTTTTTCTTCAATATCTGTTGATCTTTCAATTAAATTTGTAAGAATATTATCCAAAATCTGATTATCATTGTTAATGTTATTATCTTCATTTAATACATTTTCTAATTGAATTCTTTCACCAATTAAATCATCAGATTTTTCTTCTAATGTTTCACTGACAACATCAGGTAATAAAAATGATTTTAATGGAATATCTGTTTCTTCTTTTTTATAATCATCTTCAGTTGGTTTTTCAAATTGATTTAAAGAATAATTATCAGTTGAATTTAATTCGAATTCGTTTGATGGATTTGTTTTTTCATCTAGTTTTGATTCAACTGGATGAATATCAATTTTATCATAATCTTCATTTACTTTTTCAAATTCAGTTACATTATAATTATCCATTGAATTTAATTTAGCTTCTGTTGAAGATTTGTTCGTTTGATTGTGTATTGATTCAAGTTGATCAATATCATTTTCATCTACTTTTTCATGTTTATTTAAAGAATAATTATTAGTTGAATTTAATTCAGATTCTAATGAAGAATTATTTATTTGATTAACTGTCGATTCAACTTGAGGAATATCATTTTCATGGATCTTTTCAGATTCATTTAAATCAAGATTACCAGATAAATTTAATTCAGGTTCTATTGCGTTTTTGCTTGTTTGATCAAGTGTTGTTGATTCAACTAAACGAGTATCATTCTCATGATAATCTTCATTTCCTTGTTCGGATTCTATTGATGGACTATCATCATCTGTTGAACTTGATTCAGATTTACTTGAAGAATTAGTTGTTTGATCAAATGTTGATTCAACTTGAGGAATATCATTTTCATGGATTTTTTCAGGTTCATTTAGATTAAGATTACCAGATAAATTTAATTCAGGTTCTATTGCATTTTTGTTTGTTTGATCAAGTGTTGTTGATTCAACTAAATGAGTATAATTCTTATGATAATCTTCATTCCCTTGTTCGGATTTTATTGATGGACTATCATTATCTGTTGAATTTGATTCAGATATAATTGAAGAATTATTTGTTTGATCAAATGTTGATTCAACTTGAGGAATATTATTTTCATTGATTTTTTCAGATTCATTAACATCAAGATTATCAGATAAATTTGATTCGGATTTATTTGAAGAATAATTCGTTTGATAAATAGCTGATTCAACTGAAGGTATTTCGTTTATGTTTGTTTCGACGTTTGTTGATATTTCATCATTTGTCAAATCAATTGGATAAGATTCGGTTTTGTGATTAGATTCATTTGATGTTTCGACTTCTGTTCGAGTATGATTATCGATTATATTTGATTCTAATTCTATAGAAGAATTGTTTACTTGATCAATTAGTAATTCTGCCGGAATAATATTTATTTTTTGATTATCTTCATCTGATTCTTTCGATTCATTTAATCTACTATTATCAGTTGAATTTGATTGTGATTCAATTGATGAATTGTTTGTTTCATCGTGTATTGATTCAGCTAAAGGAAGATTATTTTCATCTGCTTTTCCAGATTCATTTAAAGGAAGATTATCATTTGAACTTGATTCAGATTCGATTGAAGAATTATTTGTTTGATCAAGTGATGTTTCGGTTTGAATAAGATGATGTTCATGTGATGTTTCAACTTCTGTTAAAATATGATTATCAGTTGGGCTTGTTTCTAATACAGTTGAAGATTCATCATGATGATGATTAATTGGTATTTCAGTACGTTCTATGCCAGGTGGAGGAATATCATCTTCATCAAGTTGACGTTGTGGTCTATATAAAATTCAATAAAATATAATTTATCTAAACTTTTTCATTGATAATTAATAGAAGTAAAATGAAACTCATAGTTTATTATAAAGACAAATTAAACTAAGAAGTTTTTCTTTGGTGAAATAAATTTGTTGATGTGAATCTTTGTTCTTTTGTGTTGATTAAACATTTAATAAAAAGTAACGAAATGACTAAATGAACGTTTGACATATTTGATAAAAGAGAAATAAAAATATATTAGTTTTTCGGTAGTTAACTACAAGAAGAATCGGCATCATTTTAAATTTGTTCCTTTCAAGATTATATATAAATATATAATCCTTCATATTTATATGCCGAGATAAACAAATATTTCTACTCTTGTCGAAAGAAAATAGATTATAGAAAAAAAACAGACAGATTTTCAAAATATGAAACTAGAAATGTCGTTTATCATATGTGTACGAAAATGGAGAATGATCGAACAATAGTAAATATGAGTTCATTGTGAAAGATAATTTGAATATATAGTTTACGTTTGAATGAATTATTTGACTAGATTTTTGTTTTCAATTTCTCTAAAATAATTTCGAATGATATATTTGCTCAAAGAAGAATTTCAAGCTGAATTTATTGTTCATATTAACAATTAATATAAAAATTAAAATCTAAGAAAATGTTTCTCGTAGAATTTACTAAACTACAAATTAAAAATTCAATTTAACTTTTATCGATTCAAAATAAAAAGCTGTTAGCGCAATCCCTTGCGGGATTAAAAATGTGAAACACGATGAACCTATTGTTACTAATTAAATGAAAATCCTTTTGTTCCATTTCCTTACGACACATTTGTAGCTAACCGTATATCTGATGCTTTAAAACTACAGTTTCTCTGTCACGGTCTGTGATGGGTATGGATTTTCTCTGTCACGGTCAGTGGAGGGGGGTCCAAATTTCTACTCCTAAACACTTCAACACCCCTTTCAGATCGTGTTTCACAAAACGACTATCGGATTCAGTTTAGAACGATTTTAATTTTAATTTTATCTGTTCAATAACAAAAAAAATGAAGTCAATTTATCAGTTTTAAAATTTTTTTGAAACATTTTTGAAAAAGAAATATTATTGAGATAATCTTACTAAAAATATCTTCAATATAAACATATACTATACTTAAAGTAAATATAGTCGACTATTTTTTACTGGTGTATGTTAAAGAAAGATTTTTCACGATTACTTTGATTGATAAGAGTTTCTTATGACAAGTCTGACTCGAAGAAAATATTTTTTAGTAAGTTTAACTCTGTCGTAGTCCTATATAGGGCTCGAATAATCATATGAAGAAAATATCTCTCACTGAAGAATATAATTAATAAAATAAATTCTACGGACCTAAAATGATCTGGTTGATGACGAATATTTGATACAAGTTGCTCGACTGCAGAGAAATTCGTATGATCTTGATTATTTGCAATATTAAAATGTTGATAAGGGTTTTGATTTTGATCAAATGACTCTTGTCCAATATTTGATTGTGTGTCTTCAATAGATTCATTTTCTTTTGAAGAATAATTTGATGTTTGCATATTTTCGGAATGATTTTCAAATTGATTCGATTGATCACCAAAATCATTATCTGTTGTTAAACATGTATCTTGTTGAGAAGAAGAAGATGAATTATCTAATGAATAATTATCTTCATTTGATGAAGAATTAATTGTTTCTTTTTTAACAGGAATATTAATATGACTCTCGTCACTCATTTGACGAGTTTATTTCGAATAATTCAATCTAGAATAAACAAAAATAATCTAATAATATATTATCTTTAATGAATTTTTGTTTCTGTTTTTTATTAAATCTAACCGAATAATAACAAAAGAAAATTTTTACTTCGATGATCTTTGTAAAGAAGAATTATTTTTGTGATGTTTATGATGAAAATCATTTGAAATAAATTCTTTATTAATAAGATTTAATTTTCTTTTTGATGAAAAACAATCTGGTGGATCATAATCAGTTCCAATATCATTTGTTAAACGTTTTTCTTCATCAATTCGAATTAATTTAAAACCTAACATTGAAAATGTTTCATCAGAAAAATCTTCATTTGTTATATTTGCACAAGATATTATTTTTTTTAAAGCATTTTTAACTTGTTCATAACTAAAAACAAATTCTTTTTTTGTTTTTTATTAAATAACTGAAAGTAAAAAAAAGAAAAAAACCGTTGTTCAATTTGTTTTGTTTGTTGATCAATAACTAATTGTCTTTCAGCTAATCTTGCATGTTCACCTCGAATTTGATGAAGACTTTCTTTAATTAAATGATATTGTTTAATTAATGTTGTTTGATGTGTTTGAAGATTTTTTAATTCATCATCTAATTCATTATTTTCTTGTTCAACTGAATTACAAATTGATTTTAATGAACGTTCACTTTCTTCATATGTTCGAAGGGCTTTTTCAAGAACATTTTCTTTTTCCATTTTTCAAATATAATCAATTAGATGAGAATATATATATATTGAAATGAAACAAAAAACCTACCTACCGACGAATGAGAACAATCCATCATTTAACTTATTAAACAAAAACGAATTCAATTTACACTTTAGACGAAATTTTATTGAATCATTGTTTTTAAATTGAATAAAATATGGACTTTTTTTTTTTTTTTTTTTTTTGATAAAGACTAATTCAATTTAGTTTCAAATGATATTTACTAATATTTTCATTTATTTTTTATTTGATTAAATAATTAAATTCAGTTTTATTCAAATAAAGAAAATAAAAAATCAAATTCAACTCCATCTATATTTTTTCTTTCTCGATGGTTGGTTAAAAAAACAAAACGACCAATCATCAATTTTATGTCATCATCATCTCGGTCATAAATAAATTATCGATTTATATATATATACGTGTTCTGTTGTTTTTCTCGTCAGAATATTCTTTTTTCTTTATTACAAACAAATAAAAAATTCAACTTTTTTTCTTAGATAAAATCTCTTAAATAGACGGTAGGATGATATTTAGCGCGGTTACAAAGACTGGATCAAGATTATTTACCGTAAGTAACTTTTTTTGTTGTTGTTTATTAATAAAAAATCAAATTATTTAGAAATATGAATTAACAAATTCAACAATGAACAAAGAACGTATATCATTCAGTGCAGCTGTGTTGATGTCAATTGTTGGAGTTGGATTATCGGTCTTTAGCACAAATCAAATGTTGCTCGCCTCTTCATCTGCACGATCTATGTTAAACAAATCCCAATAAATTCCTTCACATTATTTGAGATTTGTCTCCCTTTTTTTCTTTTATTGTATACTTCTATGCATAAAAAGTTTTTTTTCTAAATAACACACATGAAAGAGACAATAAATAAATCAATAGTAAATATTCATTTTCTTATCGTTTAGTTTTCTAAACTTTGTTGTTTTCTTCTTTACATAATTTAGTTAAAATACGAAGAGAAAACATTAAATTTGAAATGACTTATCTATTGATTTATTTTAGTAATAGAAAAAGAATTGTCAATAACTTTATTATTATGAATAATAAATAATATTAAAAAATCGATTATTTATATAAAAAAAAAATTATTTTTACTATGAAATATAAATCATCAATAATATAGTAATACATTACTATTCTTCATTACAGGTCAATATGATCATTTCATTTACCAAAAGAAAAACAAAAAAACTAAAGCATGAAAATCATATAATTGGATTATTAAACGAATAAATCTTCGGTTTGAGAATTAATCAAATTGACGTCAAAAATCTGTTTTTTTGTATATCTGATAGTAATACAATTCTCTTATGTATTTTCTTTGAAATATAACAGATAATTAGACAAACTTAATTATTAAATATTTATTTTGTTTTCGATTAATTACTAAAAAAGTGAAATTTGATTTTAAATTGATAAATAAATAAAGTATTTGAACAGGATTGAAGCCATAGACAAGAGCATTGTATCAAACAAGCAAAACAAAAACATATTGCGCATTTCTTTTTTTCTTTGACAATAATGAATGGCAATAATCTCGTCTCTATCGTATTTTCTGCCATAATGTTTATGTACAAACATGTTTTCAGCAAGTACAATGTAAGGTCACACGACAAGAATGTACATTCCTTAAGTATTTTGTTTTTTTTCTAATAAAATCAATCAAATAAAATTAAAATTTATCGAATCATTGAACATTTTATTTAATATATATATACTAATACATATATAAACGCATATTATTACTTTCGAACTATTCAAATTATTGAGTGTATTTATTCAATCAGCAATGATCCGATCGACGAATGTCAACAGTATCATACATCCATGCACACAACCAAAACTTTTTTTTTTTTTTATCGGTATAAAGAATTTTTTGTGCGTTCTTTCAGAAAAAAAAATCGTTAGATCCTTCAAAAAAAAATCACAAGACCTTTCTCTCCTGCATTACTGGTTGACTTTGATTGAATAAATAATCAATAGAGAAAATAAGGTTTTTTTTTTTTTTCGGTATTTTAATCTTCAATTTAATACGCTTATGGACAATTTTATACACATGATTTTAGACCTTTCTATTAAGAATATAGAATAAGTTTAGATTCTCAAAAGAAAAATTCTCTTCTAATAATTGATAATAAAAAGGTAAATTACACAGAATATTTCTATTCGATTCAATTCAATATTTTACGAAAGAATTTATTTATAATTATTTATTATGATTTAACAAGTTTGTAGAAATTCGGTTAGTTCTTTTTAGAACTTGAAGAAAATGTTTTGAACAAAAATATTCTTTATTTAGAAAGAATTTTATCCGCAATAAAGTTTCTCAAATGATTTTAAATCTTATCAATTTCTATATGATCTTAATAGACGTGATATGTTTTGTCAAATGCTTCGTTTCTCTTTCAATTTTCCTCATACTCTTTTTATCAAATTTTAAATTAATCTTTTTCAATCAGGCGAATCAATAACATTAATTTTTCTATTTGTCTATCCTATTGAAATTTATAAGACTTTCTACATAGAAACAATTAAATAGTTATTTATATTTATTGGATACTTATTCTTTTTCTTTAATTTTCATATTATTCTATATATCAATTATATTTACTCAAATTGGAAGTATATTTTATTTTTTTTAAATTTATCTTACAATTTTTTATTAATATCTATTCAATAAAAAATACCTAATATTAAACTAGTTAAATAATAAATCATCATTATGAAAATCTATCGTCGAATTATTGTTAAATAATTGTTTAGTTATAAATGTGAACGACACACTTGTTTATCAAATAGTCGAATATCATAAATAAATGCATCCATTTCATACATATCACTTGGTTGTGTATAATGAAAACTAATTGTTGTTTCACTTAACGCTTCATAACCCTATTTGAAATAAAATAATAGAATATAAAATAAAAAATAAAAACGAAAAAAAACTTACAAATAGATTATGATGAAAAGGTCTAAAATGAATCCATTCTCTTTTAGTTTTATTCGAAGGTCCATTAAAATGAATACGAAAAGCAAGTGGATGAAATCTTTCTCTTCCATGTTCATCAACTGTTTCTCCAACTAATTCTAAATCTTTTCTTATATGAAAAGGTAATAATTGAAGAATGTTTTTTAAACATTGTCCAACCATAATATCTTCCATTGATGAATTACATTGAGAATATATTGAATCATTTTTCATATATGAAGAAAATAAATCAAGTCCTTTACGTGTTAATATATATCCAGCACCTCCACTTACATAATAATCTTCACGAAATCGATAACCATATAATAGTGGTTTGGGATATCGTCTAATACATATTAAAAAATATATTTAATTAAATTAAATAAATATTTTTATATATTACTTAATTGTACTAATTAAAAATCTTAGTAAATTTTCTACAATAATATAAGTATCATCATCTGCTTTAAGATACCAATCATAATTTGGATAATATTCATTAAAAAATAAAAGTGACGCACGAACTTTATCTGATAAATGTGAGTAAGTTTCATCTGGTAATGTTGGAATATTTTCTATTGGTAATTCATATTTTATAGAAGAATTTAATCGACTAACAAGTACAAATCGACCACATCGACGTCCCCATGTTTCGTATACAGCACGAGCTCGACTTTCCAAATTTGCTTCATTTGTTAATACAAAACAAAAAAGACGAGAACGATATTTATCAACTAAACAATTGTTACAATGTTTTTCTTAAACTTTTTTTAATAAGTTAAACTTACGCCAACAAGTTTCTCTTCTTGTTAACACAATCAATATAATAAATAGCAAAATTATTCCAAAGAAAATTATTAATCGCCTAAATTGAGTAAATGTTGAATACCATAAATAAGAACATCGTCGTCGAATATTCAACTTAAATAACATTATATTATTTTAAACAAAAGGAAAAAGAATACGAAAAAAAAATTTGCGAAAGAAAAATGTAACGATGCGCTTCAATAAACTCATAATGTAAAATCAAGTGACAGTCTTTGTTTGTTCTTTTTTCATAATAAGTCACACAATTAATAACTAATTCAAGTATTGCGTCTTATACTAACTGAAAATATGTCGATGTTTTTGTGAAATCCTAAACATAATCATTCAATAATAGTAAATTGTGATATAAGGGAGTATTTCTACTTGTACAAAAGAATAATTGTTGCTTTATTTTTATCTGTGATCGTTATTGGTGGATTATTATTTTGAAAAACACTAACCTAACCGAAAAAGAAAAGTTAATGATGTAAAGCAAAAAATCTTTTCAATATCAAAGAAAAAGACATTGCATAAAATGTTAAGAAAATCTTAAATATTGAATTTCATATGAGAGAAACTTGTAGTGACTACATTCCAAAAAATTTGACTCAAATTATATTCCTAACTATATTCTATCTAAGACTAATACAGAATCTAATACTTGATGTAGAGTCTTTAAGATATCCACAGTTGTCAGTAATTTCATGGGAATGAACGAAACTACTGAAAAGCATAGGTTTTGTTTTCACATTAGTTCTTGCAAAATGAGATCATTTTCTTTCATCATAAACAAAGAAATTGAAATCATCTATCCCTTATTTCGAGCAACTGTGAGTACTATCACAACAGGAACAGCTACAACATGCACGACTAAAATTATGACGATTGCTACAACACCAACACCTGCTCTTCTACTTTGTACCTCAACCAGTTACAACTATGCGCCTATGGTGTCTATAAGCATTTTGGTATGATAGAACTTTGAGAACAGATTCATTAAATCCATGTTAAGTTTTAATGAAATATCGGTTAATGAACCAACCTTCGTACTAGGTTATGTCGGCCAAAATCTATCGCTTCACGCATCTTCAAACCAGTATTTTTCGACTTCATTGATTCCAGAGAACTGTAGAAGCTTCACCTATCAATGCTTGGATTTAGTCCATAAGGGCTTCCAATACGACGAACATTCACAGTATCACAAGTTCTATCCACGAAACGTAGCCGAAGAATATTTTCAACATGGCCTCCATTCCGAATTGACCATGTGCTTCATTTATAGGGTATTTTTATTTCTCGAAGATTGCTGATCTCTACACAGTTACATCCATTTATCTCAATGAATGAACACATGTAGCAGTGGCGTACGCAGAAATTTTTCAAGGGGGGGCCCAACTTCGTAAGGGGGGGGGCCCGCCATGACACAAAAATTTTTTTATCACGCGAAAATATTTTTTCCTGTACCCCC